CAGGCGCAATGATAGTTACCTAGCTGGGGACTATTTTCAGGCGCTGCATAATATCATTGCACCTGCTGCACCCATGCTACGGCAGCAAAGTTCCTTGATTATTACGCTGGAATAAGTAGTTCCTAGCCATATCGGCCTAGAATATAGCAACTTTTAATTTTCCGTCGGTCTTAGTACGCGATGTAACTACAGAAGAGTCGAGTTTTAAATAGTAAAAATATCGAAACTCTTTGGTCATTTTTGAGCGAGATGCTAACGGTCTAATCAGATTCAATGATCACTAAAAGTGCTACCACCAGACCCGGAGATCGGCTGAATGGATTTGAAAACGGTAAAACTCAACTGTTTAACTCTAGGGGAGTTGGAAAATGAGCCTATTTTCAAAAATAGTGGAGTGTTCCTTTAATATTTTCCCATCCCAAACATTAAACTCCCAAAAAAAATCAGGCAAGTTTCAGAAGTTTCCCCTCTCTCTCTCTCTCTTTCTCTGACCTTGTATCAGTCCTGCTGCATCAGCACCTGGCTGCGCCTGCTGCACCCATGCTACGGCAGCAAAGTTCCTTGATTATTACGCTGGAATAAGTAGTTCCTAGCCATATCGGCCTAGAATATAGCAACTTTTAATTTTCCGTCGGTCTTAGTACGCGATGTAACTACAGAAGAGTCGAGTTTTAAATAGTAAAAATATCGAAACTCTTTGGTCATTTTTGAGCGAGATGCTAACGGTCTAATCAGATTCAATGATCACTAAAAGTGCTACCACCAGACCCGGAGATCGGCTGAATGGATTTGAAAACGGTAAAACTCAACTGTTTAACTCTAGGGGAGTTGGAAAATGAGCCTATTTTCAAAAATAGTGGAGTGTTCCTTTAATATTTTCCCATCCCAAACATTAAACTCCCAAAAAAAATCAGGCAAGTCTCAGAAGTTTCCCCTCTCTCTCTCTCTTTCTCTGACCTTGTATCAGTCCTGCTGCATCAGCACCTGGCTGCTCTCTGTCACGCTGAGGAGTATGGGAAGCAACCCCCACTGCTGCTGCAGTGCATTATGGGTAGTGCGAGCAAAGCTTGTTTGATGTCTGATCGTCACGGATATCATCTTATAGATGGTGCTTCATAGACAGATACAGAAATCATCTAAAGAACCGTCTTCAAAGCTGAATGTATATCTGTCTAATGTAATACGGGAAAGAATAAATCAGGTGATTGTGAATGAAATGAAGCTGAAGCTCTCAGACAGACGGGCGTCTCATAACATTCACTGACTGTCCAGCTTGTTGTAACAACATTAATTGAGCAGATTTTTGATATGTATCAGTGTATTGGTGTTAACTGATAAGTCACCTAACATTTTGTCTTTGGTCAGCATACGTGCTGCTCTTTGACCGTTTTGATGCAGTACAGAGAGACACACAGGTTTATATTCACACCACATCAGTGTTGATGTCATTCTCTCCGTCCGTCATCCTGTCGTTCAGTAATTACAGCTGAGAGACAAAGCCGTCGTCTGTCCTCTGTAGCAGAACCTCTCGCCGCGGTCGGGTTTGAATGTAAATAAATCACAGCTGGGGCGGTTTTGCTACATTAGGACACAGATGGTTGAGCATTATTTATAGATCCTCAAGGGTAAGTGCAGTTTAATAAGGTACCACTGAGATCTGAATGCAGGTTTATTAGTCAGGTGCTTTTTTGTAGTTTTGTGCCAAATGTGTCAAAAGTTTTGTGCTTGAAGAAGTGAATTGTACTTTTGACAGATCTCTTTAAAAAGTTGTAAATCCACTAATATTGACCTAGAAAACAAGAAACATTTCTGATGATCAATGTTGAAAACATATTTTTGTGGAAACCATGATACATTTTCTTAGAAAGTTCAAAAGAACGGCATTTATTTGAAATGTATATATATATTAGTGCTGTCAAATGATTAATCGCGATTAATCACATTCAAAATAAAAGCGTTTGTTTACATAATACTGTGTATATTTATTATGTATATATAAATACACAAACATACTGAATTAAAAAAATATTTACATGTGTGTATATACAGTATATTCATATAATTTATATTATATATAAATATAAATATTTTATATATAAACAA